GGTCAAGTGTGATTTTTCTACACACAGCAATACTGCCCATAGTGTTTAAATATGGGGGAGCAGTTAGAAAATAATACTATTGAAAGCAGTACTTTTAGGAGATTCTGATTAGCTTTTGAGTAAGTAGGGAGGCAGGTTTATGAATATTCAATAAGAAAAACTATGTTAATTAATAGTTTCAATAATAGACAAAAACAAGAGGTGAATTCCAGTTACTAAAGAACTGCAGAATCATTAAAGCATATATATAATTATTTCTTTTAACCTTTAATTTTCAGTTAAGAAACCAAACTTTCAAATAAAACAAACAGATCTTATCTAGAACATGAAATATTTCTTTCCAGTCTAGCTGAAAAGCAACCTGCTCTCTACAGTGTACAATTTGTAAGGGAATTTTTTGGAAATGTAATTAAAATGTCGAACTAAGAAATACATATTTTAACTAAAGAATTCACTCACCCAGAGATACCGAAGCAACTTTAACAAACTTGAACAGTAATAGTACTCCATTCTTCCAAAGCACATAGTTACTGCAATATCATCTTTGTTGATTTCTGTTTTCTCTGAGAGGGAGGCTTCCCTTCCTCCCATAGAACTTAAAAGCAGACCGAAAACATTAAAGGCAACATGAATAATTTACAAGATCTGCTTAACAGGATATAAGGTACCATACGGAGCACTGTCCCTTTAAAAAGTGAAGTAGCTACTTTTAAGCAGCAGCTGAGCTACTAAGTCAGATAGATGACTCACCTATTACCATCTAACCACTCAGACTTTTCTGGTATATTTAACTCACAGCACAAGTGTTAGCTTAGAATTAGTAGTGTTTGGATTTCTCTGCACATGAAATAAACCTTCATTTTGAAGAGAAAAAACAATAAAAGCATGCTGTTTAAGAGGCTCAGATTATACAACGCTATTCATGCCACAGAAACGGTTTAGATTTCTAGCTGACCTTATTTTCTCTGTGCTATGAGAGATGCAGATAAGAGAAGACCATGCTTTTAATATAAAAAATACTTCATGTGAGTGAAAAAAAAAAGAGCACTCAGATTCCACAATGTATCTTTTTACATACTACTGGATCACTGCCAGCATTGCAAACCAATGCTGCCAAAAAAGGAAAAAAGGATCCAACACTAGGTGTTACTAATCAGCAATTTCAGTTACAAGTTCTAGAGATGTAAGAATAAAGGTAAGCACATTCCCCCCACCCTCCCAAAAAACTGCAAGGAGTCAGAGGTCAGTTTGTGACTTTTTTAAACTGGCTGACTCATCTCTCTCTCTATATTGTAGACTCAAGTAACAGATTTCTTTAATCATTTTATTTTTGACATCAGAATGTAATGACAATGACTTGTACAGACAAATATCAATGAAATAATAAAAATATAACAAGAATACAAAGAACAATTACATAGGCTAGCACCAATACCACTTCAGATACCACCCACAGCCTGCTTCTCCTTTTACATGCACAATATACTTTGAATCGATGCTGCTCAATCACCACCGATGGCTACCAGGCTGGTAACTCCTAACTGACAAAAGCAATTGCTTATCTCTATATATTAAAAAAAAAACTTTTCCTGCAGGAGGACAGAGTGAGGTCATCGCATCACTTTGAATCCCACAGTCCCTCTCTTCCTTTCCCTCCCTAGTGCTCGGCGGACAGGGGGAAGAGTGTGGACCCAGCAAGGCCCTGGAGAGGCTAGGGATATTAAATATTGGTTAATTAAATAGTCGAGTAACCTCATGAATTCTTATTGGTTAGTCAACTATTCTATAGTCCCTGGGGGTGGGGCCAGAAGCCAACACACTCCAACCTCACTCCTTAGGAGCTCTCTGCCACTCTGCACTGGTGCCTCTAATACAGATGCCAGACAGGAGCTGATCCGCAAAGTCAGGGCCAGTCCTAACTGCCGGGGAAAATTTATCAAGCAAAAAATAAAGGGGGAGGGGATTGGGCCGAAATCCGGTTGCAGCCCGCTGCTAAGACTGGCTTTGTTGGTGGCCCCTTCAAAATGGCAGCTCCAGAAGACCACCTGACTTGACCACCCCTAAGACTGGCTTTGTGCGAGGCGAGCCAGTTTAAAAACCAGCTCCCCTTGCAGACCGGCTGGCCGTGGACCAGG